CAGCCTTAGAGGAGGCAAGCGGAGCTGCGAGCTGCCCCCTCCTCCATAATACATGTCCTCCCCCCAGCCCCACCTACCTCTCAGCTTGCCCCCTGCTCTCGGCGGCGGCCTCACCTGCGTGCAGCCAGGTCTCTGCAGGGCCCTGTGAGGACACGTCCAGCCCATGGCAGGTCACGCTGCCCCCCAGGCGAGGGGGGTCCTGCTACGGAACCACCCTGCGCAGGGTGACTGGACTCAGGCAGGGAACAGCCACAGCCGAGAAAGGAGAAAAGCTGCTCCCCGCAAAAGATACCTCCCAAGGCACAGGGGGCATGGTGCTGAGCCCCTTTGGCACAGACCACGGGGCTGCTTTGTCCTCTGTGCCAAGCCACACTGCGGGGGAAGGACAGGAAAATCAACAGGAGGCACAAAGCCCTCCCTGCCTCCTCTGTCCACCCTGGTCACACCTGGGCTCAGAGGGGCCGGCAGCTGCTGGGAGCAAGTCCTGACGAGTGGTTTGGCAAAGCTCTGCCGGCATCTGTGTGCGTGGTGGGGGCTTTTCCAGGTGCACAGTCTTTGCATGATGGAAAAGTAGGGACCGGGGTGGAGGGGGCACAGCTGGCAGTTGCCATGTGCATTTGAAAAGAGCAGGACTTGCCTACACAGCGTGGTTGTGGGACAAACTGCAAAATACACGGGGAGAGTCTCCCTTGTTACCTCCGGCTGCCCTCAATTTTGCACTCATTTAGGGAGTTCCCGGCTCCTGATTTGCTGCTCACCTGCTAGGAATGCCCTTACTGCAGAAAGGAAAGCCAACAGCAGATGGGACAAGAAGTCCCGAGCTTGTTTTGATAAGGAAGAAAAAGAAAGAAAAAACAACCCTGTTCTATTGTGTTAGCTGGGCTGGTGAAGTGCTGGGATGGGCTGCTGGGGAGGGGACACAGTCTGCAGCAGGGGAGACCTTTAGAAAATAGTCAAAAAGAGTGAGTTGGCTGATCCTGCCCGGAGGCAGTGATGGCCAGACAGCCCCTAGATGGCTCAGTTCTTCTGGATGAAGGCTGAGAAGATCTGAGCCCAACCTAGGAGAAGAGCTGTGAAGAAGCTGTGATAGAAATGGAGAGCCCCTGGACTCTGCAGCCACAGGGCACAATCCTAGGCACAAATTTTAAAAATCTGCAGAAAGCGAGCTTTTATTGCTATGGAAAGCAGAGCAGAAGGGGCGTTGATAATTTAGCTTCCTGGGCAGAAAGTGTTTTAAGAGATCCTCACATGCCCCTGCCTGCTCTCCCCCTGCGCCAGAGCTTACAGCTGAGCTCCCCAAACCTTGTGTTGCAGCACTAACACAAGCTAGAAAGGGGCAAATTGCGGCTTGGAGATGGGAGGGAGCGGGTCTGCGGATGGAGAAACTGCTGAGGGTGCTGCCCAAGGGGTGTGGGGGGGTAGTATAAAACTAAATGCATATAAGGATATTTGCTATAATAGTTCTAATTGAGTAAGAGCCTCTAATAAAGCAGATACAGGCCTGCTGCAGGATGTCCTCCAGTGCAACACACAAACCATAGCTGGTTTGCAGAGGTTTAGGTCCAGTTTGCCGCAGAAAATGAGAGCAGGTCAGCCCCAATGGGAAACGCAGGACATCAAAAAAAAAATTTTCTGCCAACTGTGGGTTTTGTTATGTTTTTTGCAGGTGATGGCCATGCTGCTCTTCCCTGTGCAGCTGCTGGCAGTGGCTGTCACCATCTACCTAGAGCTGGTGAGGTCTGTTCAAGGCGGTGTCTACTATGGGATCAAGCAGCTGCCACCCCAGGTGCCCCAGTATCAACCCCTTGGACAACAAGTACCTCACATACCACTGGGCAAAGAAGGCATCCCGATGCAGCACATGGG